TAAAAATATCTATCAGTAATAGTTTTAACACACAACTAAAATTCAATTCAATATGCTACTGCTTCATTTTAAGGTAAAGCAACATTGGCCAGATACTGCATGTTTGACAGCCCAAAGGAAGTTGTGTCATTGTCACATTAAGCAGTAAAACATTAAAATGCAAATTGTGGAAAAAAAATAGGTCAGATTCATGTCATGTTAGTATGACAAGTTGTATTAAAGCCCATGCCATACATACAAATATCATACCATTGCACAACAACTCACTCTTATTTGACATCAGACTCTTGCTATTTTCGCTACTTCAAATTTATTACTACCATTTATATTTTTGCTCTTTGTTATTACAAAATAATGTGATGTGTGAGCTACTGAGTCCACATAATTTCCCTTGTGGATCAGTAAAGTTTGTCTATGTCTAAGTGTAAGTCTAAACGAGTAGAAGTAAAATGACTTATTATACGTGATCTACTTCAGCTATGAAAAAAGAAGAAAAGTACTAAAAACAATTTAACACATCCACAACTTTCTTACTGTGAGACCAACATATTATCACCCATAATCAAGATATTTAGCAGATTCCAAAACTAAGTTAATTTCAAATGAAAGTATAACCCCTATGAGTATACATAGTCTCTTTATCTTATAATTTTCAAGTCAAACATCATTGAACACCCAAGTAAAATCCTCAAATGTCTAATGTAACCCTGACACTATGTTTTAGCTGTCAGATCCTATAGTTCAGGTTGTTTTGACAAAGTATGTGCGGTCACATCTTTACCTTCCCCCATAGACAAAGAGGGACCCATTGACTTGACCTTAGGATCATGTGAGGATTGGAGTTTTCTCTTAAACATACCCCTGTAAGCTCTTCACAAACTGCCTCTAAGAAAGGAACAAGGTCAAATGATGGTTCGAGAATTCAGCGCAATTTACGTTTTTTTCTTGGTTTGGTTAGCCGTGCCACAGCTGCACCTAATCCCCACAGGAAAGTCCTTCATCTGGGACTGATTTTCTAGTGCCTGTGCTCCGGGTGAGAGAAAGGGGGGACTGTTCTTTGGCTTTTTCTAGGATGCAGGCCTCCATACTCCAGTCCATCTGATTAAAGGGAGTTGGGCTCAATTACACCCCAATGCGCAGTCCTCTTTCTCCAGTACGACCTTGGTTAAAAAACACACACAGAGGAATACTGTCCAGAATCAACAGTGAGGGTGTGGAACCAATGTGCTCTCCACCTGCGGCACTCCCATCCGTCCACATGCTAGCGCTACGACTACAGGGTCTGTCAGCATAGTCTGCCTCAGAGGGATAGTTCTTTATGTAACCTGTGACGAGGTCGGAAAAACAGTAAGGCGAAATCTCCAGGGAACGGACTTATGTCTTTTCCAATAGCGTAAGAGTTGATAGCACTGGGCACCGGGTCACAGCCATCCTTTCTAATCAGTCTCATGCCAGAAAAGTACAAGGTTCGCCACGAAGAAAAGTGTGCACATGGTTATGTATGTCCACTCGTGTGCTCCGAGGAAACCAGCAGGAGATTAGAAGTGACTCGAGACAATTAAGGGAGCCAAAACTTTCTCAGGGATTACATGATGCTGAAAACAGAAAATTATAGAACACACACAAGTCACTGTCCAGTTGTCAAATACTGAACATATTAGGATAGTCGAAAAAATCATAACCAGAAATCAATCAAAAAATATACACTAATAATGATATCAAAACTAGATACAGCAATTGTGGGGGAATTTTTATTTATTTATTTTTTTTTAAATGAGGCAAAATTTGATCTTTCCTGAATTTGAATACATAGTAAGTTCACAACTACTATACCACTGAAATAAGTCTAAATTGCCTTGTGGTAGTGAATTAGGTCAAGCCCTTTCCTTTTAAAACTGAATTTAAATTTTTAGAACTGGGACAGCTCTACTACATATACTATTAGTACAACTATTCTAATAACAACTACACTTATAGTAGTATAGTAGTAGTTTCTAGTCTGTCACCCTAAAGCACTTATGGTAATCTACTATTGTAACTATAGCCAAAAATGCCCTGAGGCAGACTGACACATGGCAGCCATACATTGCTTTCTGAACCTCTAATCCTCAACCTGAGTCATGTACGCAATAAAGACAATGAAAAACACGTTTGAATTTAGTGTATTGAAACTGAGTGCAACAATTGGCATAAAACTTAGAGCCAAGCTGGTTGCAACTGTGTCAGCTTGTAAAGTTCACTGCTTGCCACTGACTTAGGACCAATTAAAATCATTATGACAATTCCAGTTTATAGATGGAGGAGGATGAAGGATCAACAGTTCTCCAAATGTCAACTTTGTGTGGAAAAGTCTACAGTAGTGAGCACCTCCACTTAGTTAAAAACACCCCTCACCCTCCTATCACCAACCACTTCTTCTGACTTCTCAATTTCAGCCCCAACAAAAAAAATAAACATCTGCCCTGTGTTATTATTCTTTTCCAAATCATATTCCACCCACAACTCAGTTTTACTACCTCATGCTGCGGGCCCTTTTTATGTAGTGCGACGCTCCTAAAAAACAAAGCCAAACGATTATAGAGCGCATGCTAACCTGCAAGCCAGCACACTGCTCCAATGACACACCAAATTTACTGTAAGTCTTTTAATTTAAAGCAGACTAGAATAGAGAAGGCTCATTAAAAGCTTTCTTAGCCCCCTCGTGTATAGTTCCATCATCAAAACTATCAAATGCAACAAGTCAGGATGTCAAGATTATTTTTGGTGTCATTATAAGAACTACATAACAAATATAATAAAATTAAGAATTAAGAATTATGATAATTTTAGAAGTAGAAATAAGCCACGTCAATTCAATCTATAATGTAAAAAAATGTGAGTGCACTGATTGTGCCATTTTGTCTTTTCTACAGAAGCTTTTTCACAGTCAAGCAGCATGCACTCAAACTGAAAAACAATTAGCTATAGCAATAATGAACCGTAAATGTACCATCAAAAGCTGCCTTGAGGCCAATTGAGAACAACAAAATCCAGGAAATATGCTGAATAATGGCTGTGTCTAAACTCTTAAGAGAAAAGGGCCATTTCTCAAGTTCCTTTCCAAAACGTGATGTAAAAAGATCATTCACACAGACTGATTTCAAAACAAAGCGCTAATAGTTTTTTAGGATCAGCATTATCAGTATTTGTGATATCAACAAATGTCTGGCCAAAACTAGCAGATTGTAAATTAGAAACGGTCGTGATTAGTCACATGTTATTCCCATAGAACGCGTTTGTTCCTGACGACATTCTGGATGCCTCTTCTACTGAGAACATTAACACCAGGAAATGCTCTGGGCCTTTAATGTTGCATTTGAAACTCTGTCAAACAGAGAGATTCAAATTGTAAAATGTGCAAAGTCTTTATGAGAACAATTTACATTTTTAATTATGTTGTAATAAAAGTTTCAACATGTGGGTCAGTATCACCAAAGACTTTTAAATATTTTTTGCAGATGCTCCCTCATCAAATCAATGTGACAAAAGCACTGGGGTGTAATTGGAATACATTTTTGGAAAAACTATGGTAATGTAGCATCGTTAAAAGATTCTTAGTTTCAAAGTTTGGTACAAAAACAAATTTAAGCCATTTCAAATCAGGATCATTGTTCTTATGTCTCAAACATCTGGAAAAGATGTGTCCTTCAGGACTCACGCATGACGCACTTAACTGTTATAGTTAAAATGTGGATGATAGAGGTGATCTAATAACACAGATCAGCAAGCACCCCTTATATTATTATTTCAACATTATTGCATTCAGCATGTGGTTGACATATAATACTTAGACTTGATATACAATGAGACATACATGCTGACTTGTCACCAGACAGGTTTGTAGAAATCTTTCACCTTCCTGGGACATTCTGTTGCACCTTCCTTGAACCGCAAAACCGTAGAAACCTCCTGAATAAACTCAAGCAGACATAGGGGAGAGTTTCTACAATAAAATAATGGAATATCACCAAAGCCATTTAAGAGTAGCAATACCACATATAATAGCATCATATGGGGAATATTTCTCAGCATGCTAAATAAAAGACACAGAGGAATGCTGTTTCAAGTATCCTCCATTAGCATGAAAAATGTGCTGGCACCACGCAAAGATGGATTCCAATGACACTCAAACAGGAAACTTTCAGCTCAATAATGCTGCTTTTGAAAATATGCAACTTTTACAGAACAGGAAGCAGTCACTCTCCAAATAATTCCCCCGAATGACAAAAACATAGAATGAATCAGTCAAAAAAACCTCCACAAACCCTGCTATAAACACATTCTGTCCATTTACGAGAAGCATTTTAATAAAGATTTGTTCAGTGACTCAGCACAGTATAAAGCAAGCTCTGTCCAAACTTGGTGGAAATACTTGGCGATACAGTTTGTTTATGAAAGCACTAAAATGCAACACTTGGATGTAACAGAAGATCTCTTGCCCTCCTTTCCGGCTCAAACCTTCATTAGATGCGTTTGCTTAAACAAAGATTGTTGATACTGGACTCAGGATATGAGTTGAGTGGGCAATTATCAAGTGATTAAAGGTGCACTGTGGAACTTGTGTGGTGGAAGGTCTATCAAATGCTTTTCTCTGTGGAGATGTTATTGCTTTGTCTGCAACGTTTCACAGTATGGCAGTATGGTCAGAGCTGTGGAGAGGCAACCCTGTTCACAATCAGAGTGTGTGTTTTTCTAAATAAAACCACTTGTAATTGAATAAATGTAAGGTATTTAATGTCACACTGTAGAACATTTCTGGCAGAGCAATGACAATTCCAGAGAAACAAGCAGGTGACCGACTCCCAAACAAAAGATTACATAGTGCACTATTATAATTATCGTTGCTCCAATGATGTCCATATGAGTGTGAAATATATTAGAAAAGCAAGATCTGAGAAAGAAACTGTAGTCAGTTGTGCCTACACCAGCTTGCATAGGCACAGTCACACTGATGTACTCACCCATTGGATGTCCCAAGCGACAAAGAGCTGATGGAGGAGGTCAATTTCCGGTTGTCCCAGAGTCTCACTTCACGGTTGCGCATCTATAGTCATTATACAAGATACAGCTCATTATTGAAGATGTATTTAATAGGTTTATCACGATGTATATTGTTTACGCAAAAATAAACAAGTGATACTACTGAAACTAATTTATGCCACTGACATGATAACCCTAAAGCAGGATTATACTTATCCCTAAAAGTATTCTAAATGTACAATATTGTTAAAATTATCTGCAATAAATAAATGGCAGACACTTTAGTAATTAGTTTGTACTTATACTTAGAAGTTATGAATTCAACCTTCTACAGCTCAAATCTTAATGCATTGCTACAAAATAACAAAACATTTCCCACTTGTGCAAAGAAAAAGTACACATGATAAATATTGACCCCCCAAAATTATTGTTCCATCTGTCATGTATTGAGTGATAAGCCAATATAGTAATTATCGTGACAGGCCTAGTATTTAAACCACTATACTAGCAAAATTACCATATCAAAACCAGTGGTCAGCAGAAGATCTTCTTTGGTCCACAGAATCCGAGAGTCTTTGTTGTTCTGAAGTCCCTTAGTACTCTGAAAAACAAGATTGTAAAATGTCACACAATCTTGTAAAAATAAATAAATAATAAATAATTTTTACTGATTTTTTTTCTGTTTTCTATTGGATATTATTCTTTATGCAGTAAAATAAAGGTTGTATCCAATGAACCATGAGTGAGGTTGAAATGTTGCTAAAGCAAAATGTGAATTTCTCTAAGGCTCAAAGTATTTTTCTCTCTTTCTCTAAAAGTAAGCATTACATTTGAATCCAAAAGGCAATAAATCATAGTTTTCAGGGGAAATAGATATTGTGTGTACATCCACATTACCCATTTCTGCATAAAAATCAAGTGATCACAGTATACTATGTGGCTGGCATGTGAATTAAATAATGTGAAAGAAACAATGAAACACAAATAAGTCAATAAAAGTCAATAAAAGATCAACGCATACATTTAAAACCCTTTTTGTTATAATTTTAATAATGCAAACGTAAAGAATAATGGCTGGAGGTACTTTAGTGCTGTAAATGCCTGGGCACCCACATCTACTCCTCCATTACAGCTCTTTTTGGGCAGGTGGATCACTGCGCCATTTGACCCTAGGTTTTTTGTTTAAAAAAAACAAACAAACAAAAAAAAAACTTCAGGAGACGCGACTCCTCTTTCACTGAGAAGAGATTAGAGGACAGCTCCTGCACCTTCCTGGACAGTTTTTCATTTTCTTTGTTGGTTAGATCTCCACCAACATCAATACAAAGGGTTTGTATCCATTATCCTATGATCCTTTAAACATTTAAATGATTAAAGATGTGTGTAAAATCCCTCGGACGACTACCTAGACGACTGAGGGATTTTACACACATCTTTATAAAGGACTTATTATTATGTTGTTTTTTTTTAGAAAAATCTATAGAAAAAAAGGGAATTTTACTGTTGAAAACCATAAGTCTTAGACCATTGTTGAACTCCATTAGGGGCCATAATTACTGAACAATATTGGAGGTTGGGGAGACAGTCAAAACTATTCCCCTGTGCATCTGTCGGCTCCAGGACAAACCAGGACTTGTCCCATGAAAGAAGCACTTGTTATTGTTGATGTAACAGACAAGGTGACTTCTGCCCCGGGAGCAGCTTAAGTTACCACGACGATGACACTACACCGTCTTGTTTTTGCGTTTACTCACCCAGAGACACAGTTGCATTGTCTCCATAGGGAATACACGTGTGGCTAAACAGCACTTGGGAGGGTTTTTGAAAGGTGGTCTTCAAAGTGGAATGGCATGTGTCAGAAATAATGGCTGACGACAGCTTGGGGTGATGACGTGAAAGAATGCGGTTGCTTAAGTCAACATTTTACAAAATAGACAAAGGATATAAAAAGTGTGCCATTTTGTGTTTTTTACAACTGTAGACTATTTACCAAGCACACACTGTTACTGTGCGACTGTAAAAAAAGAAAAGAAAAGGAGTAAAGGGTGGACCAATCCGGTGCCAATCATATACTTTACAGTGAGGAATGTACGTAAAGCTGGACTTAAAAGCTTTCAAAGTATGCATTTAGCTTATTTCTCACATTGTTTTCTTGTAATATCTTAAATCCACTGTCACTTAGTCCATGTACTACTGTTAAAATAAGATATTAGGTTTCTTTGGCAAACAGCCCAACATGTCTTACCAGATTACAGCGGTGATTTTTATGGCAACGGCAACTTTTAGTAGCATGCATGTAAAACAAAGCCCAAGGTTGAGTTAAATTCCCTTGAGTCAAAAGTGTGTTGGCTCATTTTCTTGTTAAATTTTACACATGATAAATTGTAGAGAACCTGATCTGCCATGTTGCCACTAACAATTCTTCATGTTGGCTACAATGACGTCAACCATTAAAAAAAAAAAAAAACTCGGTCTGTATAGCTTCAATCATTTGATTTTATTGAGACAAATTATAATTTTGAGCAGAACCGTGTGTGAAGCAAGCACGTGATAAATACTATATGACATATTTTTCTGTAGTTGAGAAACCTGATAAGTTGCCTCACTTCACACTGGGGGTGCTGTCATTTTAAATTATGATGCTTAAATGTTTTGAGTTGACTAGAACGTACAATTATACTTCAAGATTAGCCTTTTTTGACAACCACTCAAGTGCTTGCTAATGCTAACGCCTATATGTATACAGTGAACCCTTGTGGGCTTTAAGCTATGTTAAAATGCTGTTACCTCATCAAAAACATACCTGGAGTTGTGTTTTGTTTGCCAACCATGTTTGAGTAACACTTTCTTACGTTGACATCTCCAAAGCTCAAAATGCTCCATTCCAACTTGTGATGTCAGTGGTAGTTTTCAAGTTAACACCTTTTACATTTAGTTCAGTGGAAAGTGGCAATTCCAGAGCTGAAATTATTCAAATGATTCTAGTGAAGGTGTATGGAGTTAACAAATATAGTGGAACACTTCCTGTATTACCACATGGCATCACAAGGCGGAGTGTTTTCGGTTTGAGAGAAGAATTCAGCCTAAATATGCAGTTTGTCTGTTAAATTTGTGTGAATGAAACAAAACACAGCTCCAGGTATGTTTTTGATGAGGAAACGATGTTATAAAATAGATTAGAAAATGGCATAACATGGGCCCTGTAATACAGAGTGCTTAGAAATATGTAGCCTTGACATTACTCCCTTAAATGTTAATGTCATTTGATAAATCCAACACGTGCAGAGGAATAGGCCACACTTGTTGTGTATACCTATATTTCACTCCTTCCATATCTCACACTTTATTCCCACCAAAGAAATGACTGTGTTGATAATACATCATGGATGAAATAAACACCTAAGTCGTGAATCCAGATATTTTTTCACAAGCTGTACTTAAGGCAGGTACCTGAACTCATACTTGGCTTGCCCAGGCCTTTTAAGTGAAGCAGTTGAATAGTAGCCCAGATGTATGGAAGATGTCCAGAGTAAACTAAAACATTTTAAATGCAATAGATCAGAAAGGCACAGAGGGAAGCGCTATTGCTAACTGGTGTAAACAGACATGAGGACAGCACGCTACTGTATCCTGTCCTTCCTGGGACAAGACAAAGTGAGGATGCCACTGTGACCAAACTAGGAGCACAAGAGCATCTGCAATGTTTATGACACTTTTGGAAGTCTCCCATTATAACAGAAAGTCACAGTTTGATTGCATTGTTTTACCATTTATAGGCCACTCATAAAATACATTTGAATATAGAGGGTCAGATGTTTAAAATATATACTTAATATATACTAAATCAGTCCACTGACCTGAAAAACAAAAACAACTAAAATTACTCCTTTCAATTTTTGTTTGAAGAATGCATCATCATACTAACACACTCTCAAAGTACTCCCACCTAAATGCACTGATAAGTGCTATTTCAAGGGATTAATAAACAACCACTAAAACACATTCACCGTTCTGTGACCCAGCTGTTGAGTTGAAAGACTTATTTTTGCCATTACAACATCCCCGAGGCCTTTGAAAAGTGGAAGCCAGCCAGCTCCAAGGAAAACCCATTTTGAAGTCTTTCGTTTTTGCACAGCTATGCACGGTCCACAGCTCATAGCGCCATGATGTCATTGTCCAACCGGAACTCAGATCACGTGAAGCCACATAGGTAGTCGCCTAGCCGCTTTTCCACTGCTATTCCCAATAACCAGTTTCAAGTATGATTTCTAATAACAGAAAGAGGGCAGCCAGAGGACACACCATCTGGACATGTGTGTATATATATTACTATTTCCAAACTCTATCTCTCCTCCACAGTCATAAATTCAACTCCCATTCACCTGGAACCCCCCTACCACTCACAACTGATCCCCACATCACATAAATCAATCATGACACAAAAATGAAGGATGAGATTTTCTCAGGTTTCGGACAGTTGTAGTTATTACTATAGCACCACAGTAAATATTATTGCAATGTTTTATGATGTCCTTTAGTAAGAAAAGCGTCAAGAGATAACAACCCATTGATGCTACACAAAGGTCTAGGGAGGTTTGTAAAAGTATAATCAACAACAAAGATATTCAGTAGTTATTGGGATTTTTTTATGGTCCTACATTATACAAAATTGACTCTATTGAGCTTTAAGCCATGCTAGAATGTCATTACTATTGTGGTCTACTATCTGAAAGTAATTCATTGTTAAAAAAACATATAAAACTATTCAGATATTCATGTAACACTGTGTCAAAATTTTTTATTTTTTGTTTTATTAGGTTATTAAGTGGACATTTTCAGTTTTGAAAGTAGTTTTAGTATTGATACTACATAACATAGGTCAGAAAATAGTGCAGTGTAATATGGGCCCTTTAAATCAATATTATATCAATACTAAATAAATAGTATAAAAACTGAAAATATCCACTTAGTAAACCTAATAAAACAAAACATAAAAATACATCTGACAGATTAGTATCTGAATACCTGAATAGTTATATATGTTTTTAAAAGTTCATTATTTACAGTGAGTAGACCACAATTCAGACACGCCCCTCTTGAAATGTTAATAAATTACACAAGGATTCCTTATTTCAGGTTTTCGGGGGCAAAATATTGAATGTAAAATGTATAATATATAAGTAAATATTTTCATTAATGAGAAAAAGATTTCAAGATCAAATATTTTGGTCTTGTTCTGTTCTTTCTCAGTCCATTTACTTTTTTGCCAGTTTTCCTTTGTTTATCTAATCCGTACTTTGATTCATCTTTCTTTGCCCATCGTGTTTCTCAGACCTGTCTTGTACTTTCACAGCACTGTAAATATTACCCACTGTACGCATCTCTCCTCCTCAGTCATAAATCATACTCCCGCTCACCTACAACTCCCCTACCACTCCGGGCTGAACTCTTCTGACTTCACACAAATCAGTCTTGACACTGAGGAGCAGGCTACACTAGAACAGTGAGGACAGAAACGCCTAGATTTTAGTTAGCAGTGAGAGAAAAGGCAAATTGACACAACAGTGGGGAAGAGGAGTGAGTGGTATATGATTTGACCAA